AATGCCGAGAGTTATTAAGCAATATATAAATACATAATAAAACAGCATTGAAACAACACGGCCCCTTTCAGAGTGCCTGCAGAGTCAGAATAGGAATAGGGGAGTAGTTGAGCACTAAGGCCCAGGGAAGGCATTGCTTCCCCTTGGTGTTTAGGCTTTTTGCCAGCGGCCATTTTGTGTTATCGATCAAGCCAAAACGCAGCTCCCCTACAGAACCAGGTAAGCAGGGTGTCCGGGGGTAAGCCCAGTTGCCGAGTGTGTCGTAGGGTTGCCAGGTGTCCAGCATTTTTGCTTCCTGGCAGGGAAAAAAAATCAGAAAATACTGGACAGTTTAGGGTATCCGGTATTTTCTGAATTTTTTACTGGACAGGAAGTAAAAATACTGGACTGTCTGGGTCAATACCCTAGGGGGCAGCTTCCCCAAGTACTGAATCAGGTTGTCCCAGGTCTGCCCCACTGTCTCTTCCCTGGCCAGTCCCCCAATAAGCATCTTTCCTCCTGGCCTCGGCCAGTCTTGGTGACCCTGGCCAGGGCCGCACTGCTCACAGCTAACAGTGTGCGGCAGAGTGGCACTGAGCCAGGGAAATCTGGCACCGAAGCAGACGGGCTCTGGAGTAGAGTGGTGTAGGACAGAGCCATGTAGACAGAGAACAGAGGAACTGGCATGGGGAGGGAGCAGGAGCCCGGGCCCGGATTGCAGCGCCGCCCACACTGGCCCAGCTGCTCCCTGCCTGGCCATTCTCCAAGCTGTGGGTGTGTCCAGAAAGTGATTGACTGTTTGGGAGGAGCAGGGTGTTTGGGGTCCATCAGGCAGGGCAGGGCCAGTATCAGTTTTGGGGCAGGCAGCTGAGGGAGGCTCCCTGGGGCAGATGACGCAGAGGGTGGGCCCTGCAGAGGCACAGGAAGGAGGTTCCTGCAAGGGACCCAATAATCGTGGATGTCTTCCTGTGACATGCTTCATCCCAGCCACAGGCAGGGATTAGGTGCACGGCTTGCTGCGGGAGGGTCTCCAGCCTGCGTTCTACAGGCGCTCAGACCGGGTAGTCACAAGGGTCCCTGCTGGCCTGGCAACGTAGGACTGTGACTCTTGCGAAATGGCTCAGCAGAAGAGCAGGAGAGAGGATCGGAGGAAGACACTGAGGGTTGGTGTGACGGGCTGCCAGCGACCCGCATGGGGGATTAGGTGCACGGCTTGCTGCGGGAGGGTCTCCAGCCTGCGTTCTACAGGCGCTCAGACCGGGTAGTCACAAGGGTCCCTGCTGGCCTGGCAACGTAGGACTGTGACTCTTGCGAAATGGCTCAGCAGAAGAGCAGGAGAGAGGATCGGAGGAAGACACTGAGGGTTGGTGTGACGGGCTGCCAGCGACCCGCATGGGAGACGACCTGGGCCGCCGGGCCGCGGAAAGTGGCGGCGCAGCCCAAGC